CACTATGGCATCGTCACCGTAGTAACTGGTAAATGCCACTTTGGTAACACGTCCCCTGCCTATATTTCTCACAGAAACCACTTCATGTCACAATCCCCCCCCCCCCACACACACACATTTTCCCTGGTTGCCACTATTCTTGCTCAACTAAAAATTACATCTGTCACATCACAATTTTTGAAGTCACTCCCCAAAAAATATTTTTGCCGTAGGATGGCATTTTACCCCAAGCTACCCTACAATTGACCTGTGTTATATTCAGCCCCACTATCCCCTATGCACTCACAGCAAATTGCTGAGCAGTAAGGTGCTTAACCATTTAGCTGCTAAAACCTCTGGATTTAAAATGGTGCAGTTTGCGCATATTTAGGAGTTGATAAATAAATAAAGTTGTAATGGGATGCTTTAAAACAGCTGTCCCTGTGATTGCATTATGAATTGTTGTGCATTGACTGCTTGTCAGAACACGTTTCCCTCCCTATGGCACTCGCAACTTGAATGTGCCTTGAGAGTAATATTTATCTCGCATAGAACGTACAACAACAAATCGACTAGGTAAATAGATAAACTGTTATACTATGGGGTTGTCTGGGTTTTCTATTCATTACTCATTTATTTTCCAGAGGAAAAGTAAATGTGGACTGTTCTAGCATCTTCAAAGTGCCACAGCTAAATGACTGCAGCGGAAACACTGGTCTGGTCCCTTAGGTACTGTAACACAGGACAAAACAACTGTTACACAACATGGAACATGTGTAGCCTGGCTACGGATCTGTTACACATATGTATGGCTTGACAACGATAATCAGAAGAGCTTTACCTCCATGGCGCTGTCACACCAGTTCATCTGATCGTCCACCAGCTTGATGCTGTGCTTCATCTTCTCAGGGGGGACGAGCTTGGTCTGGCCAATCACAGCTGTAAGTAACGTGCATGTGTTAGAGATTATATTCACTGCTGCAGTAAATAAACACTTATGATGGCTAGGGTAATGCTGATGATCAGTAGACATGTCCTGCATCCATGGTGGTCTGAGGCCTTTATTTCATTGTCTCTATTATGTCTCTGATGACACTAGTAAAGAAAGCAGTGGTCTTTGACGAGTATTGACTCACGGTCCACAGCACCGCTGGAAGCAGCTGCTCCCATGCCTCTGTTTTGTATCTGGTAGACAGGTTGGGTAGGGCGCTGGCCCTCCCTCTCTAGCTTTGAGGCCCCAGAGCCAGAGGCCAGAGGAGCCACCTCAGGGGGGGTCCCTGGTTTCACCCCGTCCTCCCTGGTCTTGATGAGCATGATGGGCTTCTCCAGGGCCTGGCCTCCGCTGATGGGTACACTCTGGGAAGGCTTGGACTGAAACAAAACAAGAGCCAAAGCATTATACTTGTTGTTGTGTTTACTGCCAAGACCCATGCATCTGAATTCAGTAAAAACATTTAGTCAGCTTAAAGACTAAAACCTAAAGTAAGAGCATCTCTCCTTACACGTTCTCCAGGGGGTTTGGCCAGTATGATGGGGGTCTTCTGAACGAGTGGTCCTGGAGGCTCCTCACTGCCATCCTTCAAAGATCAGATGAGAACTACAATAAACTAAGGAAACCCATATAGATAATTTTCCCGCATAGGAAAGCGTTGCACTTTTGTCCTTACCCTGCGTTCTCTGGGGACATATTCCCGATCTCGACTGGGACCAGAGAGGTTTTGCCCCAGGGGACCCACATCCCTGTCTCGGCGTCGCCTTCTCCTCCTTCCCTGTCCGTACATGCCGGGTTGACTGTGGCCGGATTCTGACATGTTGCAATGAGGTCAACTGTCAAAATAAAACGAGAACAGATAACTACAACATCAGTTCAAATGTAATGCATACTGCTCTACTGATATGCAGTGGCTAGCTACAGTAACATTAACATTTATGGGTGGAATGGTTCTGAGCTGCTTTTTTCACACTTCCTGGTTCTTAAAAGCAGATGTAGCTGCAGATGGGAAGATGCACTTATGAATTGAAGAAGAAGTGGGGGTAGGCAATTAGATGAGACTTTAAGATACGGCGAGGAAGCACATATTGTTTATTTGCAGCTTCCACTTCAACCCTGGAGACTATCTTCCTTCGTCAGACCGCAAGTGTCTGAAGCCGGATGCTGTTCCTAGACGTTCTCAATGGAACGACTACCATCCCCCAACAACGCGGGAATCTGGATATGAAAGGGGAAATGCTCGTTTTGGAGTTGATGTTCGAGAAACCGAGAACCAGCAGCCGGACACTTAACTGCTCTGGTGTTACTGGTAACCACGACTATGCGAAACATCCTCCTCTCGGTAAGTGATGAATGTCTATTCCTGTATTATTATTATTAGTATTAGTTAGATCAACTCGCTGTCCAGGTAAAGTGGACAGGAACATTTTAAATAGAAGACATACCTACTACACGAACAGCCATGAACAAACCATGTAAATTGCCATAGCTGTAGCCGGGAAATTACAATGATTGAATGAACGCTAGTCTTTCCAGGCCAACGACGCATATATTTAAAACACTTTACCTCGTCTTTACAATACAGTTATTTCGTTGACACTTACATTATGCGTTTAATTTGGTTTTCAAAAAGGATTAGCTACTTGCTTTCAAGATAGAATCCACAAAACGGAAACAAAAACAGATGGTAACGCTGAAGTACATCTCTCAAATTATTTCGTTGGGAAACGAAGCCAGCTGACTAGGCTACATTCGTTCCGGGCTAGTTTTCTGCACGACAGGGTTGTATTCATTACGCCGATTCTGTTGCAAAACGGAAAACGAGAGTTTCTATTGGACAAATTCAAGTAGATAGGTGCTAGGTCCCTCCCCGTTTCGTTTGCTCTGTTTTCTTCCGTTTGGTTCTTAAAAGGTAAACGGTTTCCGTTGCAAGACGTAAAGAATACAGCCCATAATAGGCGATATGCACAGGCGAGCATGACGTATTTCCGGTTAAATCTCAGGATGGATGTAAACTTCCGGTTATCGTAGAATGCTGTGCAATCGTATGCTAGCATTGAATGCTTGTCGTCAAAAACATCAGAAACGGTTAATTTTCGTCGTTGTTGTTTATCTTAATGTTTATGTTAATGTTTTTACTTATAACACGATGACGTGTAAACGTACGAAAGTGTCCTTTCAAAAACGGGATGACAGCTCTTCCAGCCATCACTGCTGTGTGCCGCAATGTACAGTGTCTGCCAGATGTAATTCTTCTGTTAGTTTTTTTACTTTTCCCAAAGACAGTGAATTACATAAACGGTGGGTGATTAACATTCGACGAGTCAACTTTCTTACAACAAACACACGAGTCTGCAGCCGACACTTTCTAAGTGAAGATGTGATAGAGCCTCCGACTCCAGCTGGGCGCAGACGTCTGAAGAAGGGAGCTGTTCCAGTGCTGTTTCAATGGAACAATTTCAGTCTTCCAGCCCCACGTCCCGGAGTTTGGGAAAGGACCGAGCGTCCCAACACAGAAGGCAGGTAGTGGGTTGAGGGGTGATGGGTCTGGTAGCTCACCGCTGTAGCCCTTGTAAAGTGTAGATCTGGAATAACAATATCAGGAAAAGAGGGTTCACTAGGAAATACACCAGAATCTAACAGCGATTAATAACATTTATTTCGCAACACATTGTAGTCTGCCTATTTAATTGGACTCTGCATACCTAATTCTGCTTGCCGGAGTAGCATCTGGTTTGGGCTTCACTACAACCATGGCATCCACAAGTCCTGACTTCACTCCCTATTTATTTATGAGATGGTATTAGGAGAGATGCTAGTATGCATGTGACACAACTGTCTGGTATTGAAATGATACAAACCATTGTTCATGGTTTATGCCACTTCTGCTCTGTTTCAGTGCACGAAAGTACAGGAGGGACGACAGACATGCCACATTCAGAGTAATGGGCAGTCTTATATAGTAATGCAACCAAATAATTGCATATCCCACACCCAGCCACACAGGAACAGTAGCTTTTAACAAGCACAACTGGCTGTGAATCACGCAATGTCATCTGAAATACACAGAAGCATAATTTAATGGGTTTTGAAAGACGAGGGTCTACAGCAACAGGAGTAGGAGCAAAACTTGTTCTTTTTACTGGTGTAAGCAACTTATCTACTGTCTCGTGTCACTTTTGTGCTTTCTGCATCACTTTCCTACTGTCTTGCACCACTTGGCTATACTGTCTCCCACCACTTACCTATTGTCTTGTGCCATTTACCTACCTTCAAACAGTATTGGCAGAGCAGTAGGTGAGTGGTGCAACATTGTAGCCTAGTACCAATAACAACAGTAGAGTGAAGGTTTAGCTCCTAATTCCTCTTGAAAAGTAGAAACATCAAGTACAAAAGCAAGGAAGTTGGGCCATATGTTTATAAAGAAAGAAGTAAAGATGACAGGACAGTTTTGAGTAGAACATCAGCAGTTTGAAGAATAGCTGAGTGGAATATGTTACTGTCATTGCAGTCATCAAGTCAGGAAAAAGTAGTAATCTCATGATTGTTTACATTTCAAACCAAACTCCAATTTGTTTACAACAGACCCAACAACAAAGCATGGCAATTCCCACTCAGCTACCCTGGTCTGTATTAGGCTACCACTGTTCAGCTGTAGTGAAAACCACTAAAGTTCTAAAGTGTTCTCTTAGCAATGGCAATCAAAGCTGTGGTAACATTAAACGAGTAAAACATGTGTTGAACGGAACCTTGAACAAGTTCAACAGAACTTTGAACGTGTCACTTAATCTAGTCCTACTCTCAGCTGGTGTGGCTTTAGTTATCTTCATTGAGCGGTAGCAGTGGGCTCATACAGAGATCTCATTTGTAGCCCTGTTTTTACCTGATACTTTCAAAAAAGTACAAACACATGAAGTGAGAGGTATATACACATGATTAAACTTTATTTAAAGCATGATTAACCTGAAACAGTACGGAGTCATGACTTAAAACACCAAAGCAAGGCTTCTAGCTCAGGCTAGCTAGCGTTAGCATATTACCTTCAAAGTTGCAAAGAAAAGAAGAAACGTAAAATTTGAAGCCTTTATCCAGTTTGCGACGTGGTGTCGTACTGGATGTCCGGACGACCCTCCGTATATCATTAACAGATACTTTAGGCAACTCCAGCAAACACCTTGTACACTTCATCTCTGCCATCATAACGGTCTACTGTCACTGTCTGTTTTTTTCCGGTAACCAGAAATGCCCAAGCATCCTTACGCCAATGCGGAAGTGATGCGTGCATAGAGCCTATAGTGTAAAATATGGTTAGTAAAATGTTGCACCGTTCATGTAGTTCAGGCATACATTTAGCTAATCATACTCATTCCATATATATATATTTTTTTTCATAAACAGGCCTGGCATGCAGGAGCAACAGGGTGTCACAGACTCACATGTTGATGACAGTAATTTCAGATGGATTTTTAAATGTCCTCATAGTGAACCTAGAATAAATCATGTGAACAGGCACAGACTTCAAAGCAATACATGCATGTGTAATGAGCCATTGCCCTGAAAACATTTTATTTTGTTGTAGAGGGTGAATATACAATATAGGCCTACACCCTGGTAAAAAATTATAATATTGTAGCCTATCAAAACTTTACTCATTGGTAACCAGGTTTCCATCCAACCTTTTTTATGCGAGTTAAGTACATGTCGGATAATTTTTTCTATAAACTTTCCAAATGTCGACAAAACAAAAATATGCTAGACAAGGTGGGATCTTTTTGTGTCAGTAAAATTAATTATGCAAGAAATACCTGTGGAAACGCTTTTATGCGCAAATATTGATATAATTACCATCATATCGATGTAAATTTGGAGTCACGCGATGACATGTTGTGTAGTACTACCACTCGTCAGGAAAGCATGCAGTTTATTAGGCTACAGATTAAATACATTATGATGGACTTCAGAGTGGTGAAAGTGCATGGTGATGAGCTCGATGCTCCTTTACAATAATCTGGTGACATGATCATCGATGTTTGGTTGCCATTTGACATACAAATAATATCTCTCTTTAATCCATAATAATATCTTAATGTAGGCTATACATGCGCTCTAGCCACTGCGCGCTGTTGGGTAGAGCGCACGTGCCAACACCGGGAGTGGGCACACTCGCTATATAACGCAAAATGTTTTGTGAGAAAACCATCCGTAGAGTTGAAAATTAAATGGAAACCCATTTAACTTGTATTTTTTATTCGGTACATGGGAATTTAACCGCAAAGGGTATTTTTATGTGCACTACGTCATCACACATATCATTTTATCTGCAACAAATCAATTTGATTGAAACATCTCTGGTTGGGAAAAGCGCATATTGTTTTTATGCGGATTTTGGAATATTCGCATGAAAATCTCTCAACAATTGGATGGAAACCTAGCTAGTGATGCAAAACTGAAGAAATAATAATCAAATAGAACCAAGTGTATTTTCGTAGGCCTAAAGGGTATGATACCATGATCTAGCGCAGCAAGAGTTCATGACTATGTTATTGCCATTAGATTGTGCCATTAGGCTGTGGAGAAGATAAAAGTGCCCTACACATAACCTAAAAATAGTAATTTAGCTACCTAACAACAATATAGTCTTATTGTTACTAATTTAAATTCCCCACTTAGCTAATAAAATAGGCCTAATAATATAATTAAGCCCATAATTGAAATTGCATCAGAACTTTGCATCAAATTTAAATCATAATTTATAGTAGGCCCTTATGGACAGAGCTTACGTTATGGTAAATAAAGTTACAGTTTGTAGTTTCTACAGCAGTCTTTCAATTTGCAATAGAAGTATGTGTAGCCTAATTATGAATTTGTTTATTTATTTATTTTTTTGCAAATGAGTGGAAATCGTTTAAGTATAATATGAATACTGGTAGTTGTAGTATAGCGTTTACAAAGATGGCCAATGATGCATGCTGGGAGCTGTAGGCTTCACACTGACTCCACCCATTCCTGTTAATACAGGAAATAGAGAATAATTGATGGAAGCCAAAGCAGGGAATATTAACGTTTTAAAAAGGACTTAAAAGGTAATGTTTTTCGAAATGTTGCTATAGTTATGTACTATTCGTAGTAGGTGGTAGCTAGGGAATTTAAGTTTAAAAAAATAACGAATCAATGGCAATTTTGCACGCGCACCAGACCAACGACATTGTCGAATGGGGAAACGCGCTCTCTCTCTATCGATGACAACAACGTCATTACATTGGAGATAAATGGTTACGTGATCCTCACATTTGAGAGTTAACTTGTACGTTAGCGAGCGATCAAACTACACACCTGTGTAGTCTGAAGTACATCATTGGAATAACTTGTCTCATATCTAGTTAGGGTTGTATTCATGAAGCTATTCTGTTGCAAAACGTTTCGTAAACGGAAGCAAACGAAACGGGGTGGGACCTACTTGAATTTGTCAAATTTTCAAGTGTTTGTCTAATGATTACGCCCTAGGTTGTCTGAATAAAAACATCTTGATGATGATAACTTTTGAAGTGGCTATCTGTGTAGCCTAGCTAACGGTAGTATTAGCAGAGAGGAATAGGCGACAGTACCAGGTAGTTAGTAACGTTTGTAGTTAGCTGGACAATATCATGGAAGTTAACAACCTGCTTAGCCAATATTAGCAACGTTTTGCAGAAACTGACATTGTAACTAATCTTTTGTCTTTGGGAGTTTAACTATCACAGTCTACACAGTAATGCCAAAGATACTGGTAACTAGCCCTTCTATCTGTGGTAATACTGTAGCAAGTTATTCTGACTTTCTCCATGTCACTATATCATCTCTGTGTGTGTCTGTCAGTAAGTGTCTGTTTGTGTGTGTGTGGATTTCTCTTTGCTTACTTTGTGTCCCTCAAAATGTAGGGATCCAGTATACAGTTGCTATGGAGATGGCTGCTGAAGACATAGTGATTCAGGAGACCTTGGGGGCAGAGGTGGAGCTACTGGAGGATGTGAACAAAGCCCACAAGCAGAGCCCACCGGTGAGTTGTTTAAACAGAGTTGATACAGGCCAGAGACTACAGTTATCAATAATATCCTATCAGTGTTCACAGTGTCATCCATCCCAAATCATGTACAGCGGGAGAGTACATATCATGTTGATAGCTGTCAATTTAGATAATAATTTGTTTGAGGAATTTTTCATTATTTACATTTTTAACCCAAATTCCCTTTCAATCGATTCAGTCTGGCATGGAAATGGAATTGGCTGTGTATCCCTCTTGAATGTATCCCTATCTATAATTCTCTCTTACCTCTCTCAATGCCCTCTCCATCAGCTGCCTTGTTATTTTTCTCTCTTTCTCCTCTGCAGGACAGAGAACCCGTCTGAAAATCTCAACTTTATTTCTACACCTGTACACTTGGTACTTTTGATATGATTTCCTTTATGTAGGCTATTAAAGGAGAAGTTCACTCTTTTGAACCAAATCTGTATTTTAGATGTAAATGGCATGTTATAGAAGTACCCAGACACTTTTTCCTGCGATTTCACTTGTTTTTGAGAAGCGTACCCCACCAGTGATATACTTCTTCATGCTCGTTCAGCAGTTGCAGGGGCATTATAAAACAGGAACAAAGGCTCCAAAAACACCCAAGTACATATTTTTTGAAACAGCAACTCTCTCAGTATAGTGATGCAGGTCTTTAGATATTGTACACATTCAATTGTGTGATTCCGAACTTTATCCGCAACGCTATATTCCATTTTGTGTGACTTGAGTGATACTTCTCCGTGTAGCCCATTCTATTTTTCCGTGTGTGTATGTGCAGGCTACACGGAGAAGTGGCACAGATGCATAGGGGAAACTGCTTGAGTCGCACAAAATGGAATATAAAGGTGTGATTAAAGTTCGGAATGACAGAATGTCATGTGTATTGCTGGTGAGGTAAGTTTCTCAAAAACAAGTGTCTGGATACTTCTATAAAATGCCATTTACATCCAAAATACATTACTTATCCTTTAATGAATTGATTAAGAAAAACTACTTGGGCTGTTATGCTTTGAGTATGCTGAAGCTTAGGCTGTATCTTTCTGTAGACTGTTTCCAAGGCTCTATTTATTTACCTTCACCAGTGCCTGCCTCATATGTAAGCAATTGGCAAACCAAAATATATTTGTGGTCAGTCAATAGTCATCACTTTGTAAACTATTGATTTATTTACTCACTTTGTCTTTAATATGTAATTTTGCTGTGAATTGCAGGAGATCCCCAGGGTTTCTGTGCCATGCCCATTCTCCATGCCAGAGGACTCGAGTGACGATGACTGTGACCTGTCAGGGGACAGCGTCTCTGCTTACGGTATACATTCCATGGAGCTGGGGGGAAAGTGCTGGGAATGTGGCGTGCAATTCAAGTCTGGTCAGGAGTTGATCGAACACTTTGAGAGCCACAGGTCCAAGGTCTCAACGTCCTGCAACATATGTCGGGTGACTTTCAGTCGCACAATATCACTGGCCATGCACCTAGTCAACGCACACCCAAACTCAGTCCTCCATTGCAGCAGCTGCCAGCTGCATTTCAGCAACTTGTGGGATCTCAACAAGCACATAGGAATACACTTGTTCACTGAGTTGTTAAATACACCCCTTGAGGACATCTCAAATAATGGCTTGAATAGCAGTGAAGAGACTTTAAAGGGACAGTATACTCTACCTTCAGCAGTGGCCCTTAAACATGAGGACAACTCAAATGATTGCTTGAATGGAAGTGAAGAGACTTTAAATGCACAGTGTACTGTACCTTCAGCAGTGGCCCTAGACCATACATACAGCATGGAAAGCAATGGGAGAGTGACAAAGACAAGACATAGGCTGGAGGAATCAGAGGAGGAGGAAGATGTCAAACCAGACCCCTCCATTCTGACCCCCTCACTGAGGATCCGTGTCAAATTGGAGAGAGGGGTTGAGGTTGATGGCGCCCCCCTCCAGTGGGATGAGGGGATGAGCGATGGAGAGGGGTCTGAACATAGCGAAGACACTGAGAGCGCAGGAGGAACAGACAACGACAGGTTAACAGAGAGCAGCGGGGAAACGGATATCGATGAGGAGGACATCAGGCTGAGTGAAGAGAGGAGGAGGAAATGAAGAGCAAACAGGGGGAGGATAGGAAGAATGACATCCAGAGCGAAAAAGAGGACGAGGATGCTGAGATGCTGATTGACCAAGATGGTGAGCCCTCCTCGTCTGAGCGGGAATCAGAATTTGACCCAGAAGAGTTATCAGATTCTGACTCGGGGTCCAGCAGCAGCGGGGAATCCAGTGGGTCTTCTTACACGCCTGTACGCACAAGGAACGTCAAGACTCGGCCATCTCGGACAAAGCGGCCCCGGACCAAGCTGCCCCAGACCAAGTTGTCCCAGGTCAGGCCTTATTATTGCATCTATTGCGCCAAAGGACCGTATCATAATATGGACTTTCATGTGAAGAGCTGCAATATGAAGAAGGACTTTCAATGCTCTTTGTGCCAAGCCGTCTTCCCTACCGAGATGGCCATGTTGGACCATGAGGTTCGGACTCACTCCGAAGCTATATCGGGCCAAATGTACGCCTGTGAGTTCTGCCGTCAGGTCTTCCCCGATCTGGCCTTCTACCAAAACCACAACTGTCCCAAAAAAGACACATCCCCCCCCATATGTCCCTGATCCCTCTACGTGTATCCATTGTGGAACAGGGCCATTCACTAATATGGACGTTCATTTGAGAGGCTGCAGTTGGAAAGGCCTTACATGCACTGAGTGCAGAGTACTCTTCCATAATAGGAAGGCCCTGCAGAACCATAACGTTTCGGTTCACGGACAACTTTCCACTATGTGTGCCGTTTGCGGCAGAGGGCCTTTCACTAATATGGACTTCCATTTGAGGAGCTGCTCTAGGGATTGGTCCTTCCAATGCTCTGAGTGCAAAGTACAATTTCCTTCAGAGAAATCCCTGGTGGACCATACTTTTCACTATCACAGTGCCACATCAAAGACCTCTGACAAAGGTGTCTGTGTTTATTGCGGCAGTGGACCATTCACTAGTCTGGACATCCACATGAGGACCTGCTCTAAGCAGAAGGGCTTAAAATGCTCTGTGTGCAAAGTATTTTTTCCTACTGAATCGGTCCTGGCGGATCATATGGTTTGCTATCACAGCACCACCATGTCCACAGCACCCCATACCAAGTCCAGAGCATCCCATACCAAGACTCAGAGACCCCTGAAGGTACCTGTCTCCATTGTGGCAGAGGTCCATTCAGTAGTCTGGACATCCACTTGAGGATCCTGCTCTGGGAAGAAGGGCTTCAAATGCTTTGTTTGCAATGTTTTCTTCCCTACAGAGACAGCCCTGGCCGACCATAAGGTTCTTGTTCACAGTATCCCATCAGAGACCCCTGAACAAGGTACCTGTGACCATTGTGGCATTGGGCCATTCACTAATCTGGACAACCACATGAAGACCTGCTCTAAGAGGAAGTGCATCCAATGTTCTGTGTGCAAGTTTTTCTTTCCTAGTGATGTCCTGGCCAACCATATGATTTCCTATCACAGTACCAAATCCCGAGTTCAGAGCCCAGTCACAGAGACACATGACAAAGGTGCCTGTGTCCATTGCGGCAGAGGGCCCTTCACTAGTCTGGAACATCACATGAAGTACTGCAATAAGCAGAAGGGCATCCAATGCGTAATGTGTAAAGCTTACTTTCTTACTGAGGGCAGTCTGGTGGACCATATTGTTTTGGCTCACACTGACAAGCTGGTGACCCAAGCTGGTGGGTCCTCCGCCACAACATTCTCCTTCGTACCCATGGCTATCTCTACCACCTCAGGCCAGCAGAGCCCCAGTAGCCCCACCCTGATGTGTTACAGTAGTGGTGTCAAGGAGCTGAAACGACTGGCCCCAGTCCCTGTGGCTGATCAGGGCCCCAGTGCAGTTGGCCAGCTAACACCTGTTGGACAGTCTACTGTGTCTCTGCCTAGAGTAATGCTGTCTACCACCACCTCTTCCCCATCCTATTCCCAGCCAGCTGTTCCTGTGATGGCCACCTTGCTCTTTGACAACACTGGTGGTGGTCCAGGGAAAATGGCAAGGCTGGTCCCAGTGGCCCCACAAACCAACCCTCCCAAACCGCAGGTCACGGCCCCCACACAGACTAACACAGCAAAGCCCCTTGGGCAGTTCTCTAACCTTCTGCAACAGGCTGTCCAACAGCCGACACCCAGGCCCACTGCCCTAGCCATGGACCCTATCAGATCCCCTCACCCCCATCACCCCATCCCCTAGACCTGTCTCAGCCTCTGCCCCTGGGCAAATCACCATGATCCGGCTCTCACCTGTCCCTACCCCCCCTTCTAGCTCAGTCTTCCCCCCTTACACTTACCCTTGCCCCAGCCCCTCTAAGCATCATGTGTATGTTTGTGAATAGAAGTAAGGAGCTGGCCCTGGAAGAAACGCATGAAGATGAGCTGGCGCTCCAAGGGCACCTACACCTGCCGCCAGTGCGGCGCCATCTCGCAGCAACCCTCGCTCAATGTGAAGCACCGCTACCTCCATCGGGGCTCCCGGCGGTACCGCTGCCACTGTGGTAGGTCGTTCCTGCGGCGGCTGCACCTCCTGCGCCACTACCACCAGCACGCCCAGGCCACCCGCTACATATGCACCGCCTGCGGGGAGACCTTCGACGGGGCAAAGTGCCTCGCACAGCACATGGTTGGTGCTTCCAACATGACTAGATGTCCAGGTGACAGCTTAACTTTGAAGCCGAGGAAAGCGTGCCGGATGCCCTTCTCCTGTCATTGTGGGCAGGTTTTTTGTAGGCCCGCTGCTTTTCTCTGGCACAAACTGAAAAACACACAAAGGACTTAACACTGAAATGGGCCCACAGCAGGGCCCAGTCTAGGCCCTATTCAAAGCACTGTTTTTTTCCATGGTTCACACAGGCAGGCAAGCCTATCCTTTACTATGCTTAGGGGTAGAGGAGGACAATGCAGTTTGTGGACTTGTTTTGACTTTTTTCACTGTGAATGAAAGATGATTCCATATAAAAAATAATCTATGTAAATTATGTATGTATTGGTTTAAAATGCATTTTACTTCCACTAAAACATTGTTTTCACCAAAAGAGCAGAAATACAATCATATTAAAATATATTTGACTTGAGTTGTCTTTATAAGAGGTCATAGGGTATTTGTACATTAGGAAGTCTAAAGCATTATCATTAATTTGGTTCCATGAGATGGCAATATTATTATCGTTAATATTATAAGTAGGTTATGATTTAGCTGGGAGAATAATACTCATTCAAAAACATCCACTCACCAATGGCTTTTAATTGTCAGGAAGACAAGAAAATGTATTTACAATGCATGGTTTTATCATGTGCAAAAGAAAAGCTGTAAACGTTTTCAGTTATTGTTTTTGCATAATCTATCCTTTGTAAGCCGATTTCACAATGTTACCTGTACATGTGATCCTCGTTAAAAAAACATTTTTTAATAATTACATATCTTAACTCCAGTTAATGAAGACGCAGAACTCCAGTTTAAATACAACCATGGGAATAGTTGTCCTCACAAGGTGCTTGATTTGGTAATGCCCCAGATTACCAGCATGTGTAGAATTTGTGGATTCACAAAGTGAATGACATAAATTATGCATAAAAGACAATGCAGTGCCACTGACATACATTTCCCCATTCACATTTGAGTGCAAAATGTATTGAGAGCTGTGTTCTAAAAATGCACCCTCCTTTGAAGACTGGCCACTTTTAATCCTACCTGTGTACTAAATATAATGTGGCTGTTACTAGTCCAAAAAACAATCCATGTCACCAAAGTTTTGTTTGGTTAATGATTTCAAAAGTATTTAGACTGATGATGTATTATTACCCATAGGCTTCCACAGAGACCCAAGAATAAGACATCGTTTGACATATATTAATGTATGTGCCTGGTGTGTGTAATTGTCATGCATGTACATATCCACTGGGGGGAGCTGCCACATCAGAATTAGAATAACAGTGAGAAATGTCTCCCTGTACTTTATGCAGGTTGACGTTAATTGTCGTGAGTCTTGCCCTGGAGGCAGAACTGTCAAAATTGGCTATATTGTAAAAATTAATGAAAACAAAATTAGGTTAGGCATTATGTTTTGCAGTGTGGTTAGGGTTCAGTTTCAAATCAGATTGTATGACTTTGTGGCTGTGCCCAGCTAGTGACCACTCTGCAGAGCTGCCTCCAGGAAATGAGTCATCCCAATAATTGCCAGCCTGCGTACTTTATTAGGCTATGCCACTTGTCTCTTGATTGTTATAAGAACAGCTTAACTATGTAAACTGACTGCTTCCCCATACAATCATCCTTAAGACAACAATATATGTCGGGCCTTAACAGTCTAGATTAGTTCTTTATGCGAAAGAGTCTGTTAAATTCAGTCTACTTTGGTAACTCCCCAGTACCCTAGGGAGTGTTTGAGTGGGCAGTCCTTCAGACATGGCAACTGACTAGCAGTTTATCCCTCTAACTAAAGCCGTGTGAAGAGAAATTGTGTTTTATTCCCTAATCTAACCAAACGGATAGGATTAGAACAGTAAAAGAACAGAGATGTGTATTTTATAAGTGACCAGCAGCTCTCTCTAATAATGAGGCAGTTGTCCCATACACTGTGATGTTGCCGCTTTATACTTCCTGGTAGGAAAAACGTGTGGAATAACCGTTTTGCTTTTACTTGTGGAAAAAGGTATGATTGAAAGACACTGAGGGAGGCTGTCAATACTGAGTGGCATACAAATAAGTTCCCCTCACATTTAAAAACGCTGTTTAAACCTTTCTGAGGTACAGAACCAGATGCTATGTTACTGTAGTTCTTAATTGAGATTCTTACGCAATACTTTGTACATTAAACACATCTGATACAAATACACAAGTCATCTATATCAGACCCCGCTTTTGTAAAATGAAGTATTTTTCCTTTTTTGTCTTTACAAGTACGAGTCGTTGCGTAGGGTCCATTCAGCCGCTGGGTCAGAAGACGATGCCAGCCTTGGTCCTGGCAGTAGTCCAAGTGGTGCAGCAGGCCAAATGTTAAATGCAGCTTTGGGGGGAATAGGATTCCCATCCCGGTCTGACGGAAATACAGACAAGGCTGGTAGCATCCATCTTTAGTCTTTGGGAAAGGCCTGCAGGGAGTGTGGTTCACCCAACCACCACACAGCCACGAGTCACCTGCAGAGAAGGAGAGAGAGAATAGTTAGAATCTACAGTACAGGTTATACTCATGCATGTTCATATCAAGTTTGGTTGTGATAGTTAAAGGTGCTACACAGAAGTGTTTTGAATTTTTGCATTGTAATTTCAGAAAATGTCCATAATATATCTGGCGCTAATAGTGGAATGATAGTGTTTCACACTATTACTTACACGCCAGTGTTGTGATTGGCTGTGTTATAGTCGCCTGTTGATTTCTCCCGCCGCTGTTCTGACTGTGTGGCTGTGTTATCTAGTGGACATTTCCGTTTATGTGAGAAAACAAGCACTGAATAGTGTAGGGAATCGTTGTACCATCGAAACACTTCGAAATATATTTTCAATAACAGAAAATATCATTTTTACGGCTGTTTGAAGCTGGTGGACCAAAACCAAAAGTAACCGCTGTAAAAACAAAATGTTTTGTTATTGAAAATATATTTCACAGCGATTTAGTTGGTACAATGATTCCTTACACAATTAAGTGCTCGTTTTCTCACATAAACGGAAATTGAGCTAACAGTGTAGAATTTTAGCAACCAGGAAATGACAGCGATTTCCACTAGATAACACAACCACAAAGTCAGAACCGCTTTCCCAGTTTGACCACAGATGCGACTCCTTCAGAATAAATCAATTGGCGACTATCACAGCCAATCACTACACTGGTGGGTAAGTAATAGTGGGAAACACTATCATTCCACGATTAGCGCCAGATACTGAATATTATGGACATTTTCTGAAATTACATACAAAAATATATAAAAAAAAAAAAATACTATGTGTAGCACCTTTTAAGGTCTACAGTAAAAACTGCTTAGGTAGTGGTTGTGAAATGGTCTAATCTCAGGGTTGTGTTTGGGTTGTGGTTGTCTTACCTATACCTGATATACAGTATGGGTTGTGGTTGTGTTAGCTGTACCTGATATATGAGTTTTGTATTTATTAAGGATCCAAACAAGATTAAGGCGATTACATCACAAAAAATAAAACAGTACATCATACAACATATTATTACACCACTACTCTACCACTACATACAGTATCTACAATACAAAATGTATAATACCACAATACAACAATATTACAATGTATGTGTGTGTAGGGTGTGTGTGTTAGCGTGTGTGTACGTATGCGTGTGCGTCTCTTCATAGTCCACGTTGTTCCATAAGGTGTAGTTTTATCTGTTTGTTTTTTTTAATCTGATTTTTACTGCTTACTTGAGTTGCTTGATGTGGAATAGTGTTCCATGTAGTCATGGCTCTGTGTAGTACTGTGCGTTTCCCGGTGTCTGTTATGGACTTGGGGACTGTGAAGAGACCCCTGGTGGCATGTCTTGTGGGGTATGCATGGGTGTCTGAGCTCTATGCTAGTTGTTTGAACAGACAGCTCGGTGCTTTCAACATGTCAATACCTCTCACAAAGACAAGTAGTACTAGTTGTGCAGTCAATCTCTCCTCTACTTTGAGCCAGGAGAGATTGACATGCATGTTATTGATGTTAGCTCTCCGTGTACATTTAAGGGCCAGCCTTGCTGCTCTGTTCTGGGGCAACTGTAATTTGCCTATGTCCCTCTTTGTGGCACTTGACCATATGACTGGGCAGTAGTCCGGCTGCAACAAAACTAGGGCCTGTAGGACTTGTTTTGTTGATAATGATGTCAAGAAAGCAGAGCAGTGCTTTATTACGCACAGACCTCTCCCCATTTTAGCTACCGTTGCATCAATATGTTTTGACCATGACAGTTTACAATCCAGGGTTACACCAAGCAGTTTAGTCTCCTCAACTTGCTCAATTTCCTCATTATTCATTACAAGATTAAGTTGAGGTTTAGGGTTTAGTGAATGGTGCCAAACAATGCTTTTAGTTTTTGAAATATTTAGGACTAGCTTATTACTTGCCACCCATTCTAAAACTGACGGCATCTCTTTGTTAAGTGTTGCAGTGATTTCACTTGCTGTGGTAGCTGACATGTATGATGTTGAGTCATCAGCATACATAGACATTTTTTACATTACATTTTAGTCATTTAGCAGATGCTCTTATCCAGAGCGACTTACAGGAGCAATTAGAGTTAAGTGCCTTGCTCAAGGGCACATCGACAGATTTTTCACCTAGTCGGCTCGGGGATTAGAACCAGCGACCTTTCGATTACTGGCACAACGCTCTTAACCACTAAGCTAACTGCCGCCCACACAGGCATTACTCAGTGCCGGTGGCAGGTCATTGGTAAAGATTGAAAAAAGTAAGGGGCCTAGACAGCTGCCCTGGAGAATGCTTGACTCTACCTGGATTGTGTTGGAGAGGCTTCCATTAAAGAACACACTCTGTGTTCTGTTAGACAGGTAATATTAAATCCACAATATAGCAGAGGATGTAAAGCCATAACACATACATTTTTTCAGCAGCAGATTATGATGGATAATCTCAAAAGCTGCACTGAAGTCGAACAAAACAGCTCCCACAGTCTTCTTATTATCAGCCAATCATCAGTCATTTGTGTAAGTGCTGTACATGTTGAGTGCCCTTCCCTATAAGCGTGATGAAAGTCAGTTGTTAATTTGTTTACTGTGAAATAGCATTGTATCTGGTCAAACACCATTTTTTCCAAAAGTTTACTAAGGGTTGGTAGCAGGCTGATTGGTTGGCTGTTTGAACCAGTAAAGGGTGCTTTGCAATTCTTGGGTAACAGAATGACTTTTGCTTCGCTCCAGGCCTGAGGACACACACTTTCCTGTAGGCTTAGATTGAAGAGATGGCAAATAGGAGTGGCAATATAGTCCGCCATCATCCTCAGTAATATTCCATCCAAGTTGTCAGTCCCAGGTGGTTTGTCATTGTTGATAGACAACAATAATTTGTTCACCTCTTCCACACTCACTTTACAGAATTCAAAATTACTATGTTTGTCCTTCATAATTTAGTCAGTTATGCATCGATATGTAGGTTCAGAGTTTGTTGTTGGCATGTCATGCCTACATTTGCTAATCTTGCCAATGAAAAAATCATTAAAGTAGTAGGCAATATCAGTGGGTTTTGTGATGAACAAGTCTTCTGATTCAATGAAGGATGAAGCTGAGTTCGATCTAATTTAAGGTGCTCCAAAGCTTTTTACTATCATCCTTTATTTTAGTCATTTAGCAGACGCTCTTATCCAGAACGACTTACAGGAGCAATTAGGGTTAAGTGCCTTGCTTAAGGGCACATCGACAGATTTTTCACCTAGTCGGCTCGGGGATTAGAACCAGCGACCTTTCGATTACTGGCACAACGCTCTTACCCACTAAGCTACCTGGCCTGCCCCCATTTATCTTTGTTTCATTGTACAGTTTCTTCTTCTTTTACTTAGGTTAGTCACATGATTCCTCAATTTACAGTAAGTTTGCCAATCGGCAGTGCAGCCAGACTTATTTGCCATTCCTTTTGCCTCATCCCTCTCAACCGGGGATTTAACTGTTTTTACAGTCATTTTCCTAATGGTTGCATGCTTATTAATAACTGGAATAAGCAATTTCATAAATCCATCAAGTGCAGCGTCTGGTTGATCCTCATTACACACCACAGACCAGCAAATATTATTTACATCTTCAACATAGGAATCACTACAAAACCTCTTGTATGATCTCTTATACACTATATTAGGCCCAGCCTTTGGAATTTTGGTTTTCCTTGATATAGCTACTATATTATGATCACTATATCTGATGGATGTGGATACTGCTTTAGAGCAGATTTCTGCAGCATTAGTAAAGAGGTGATCAATACATGTGGATGATTTCATTCCTGTGCTGTATGTAAATACCCTGGTAGGTTGACTGATAACCTGAACCAGGTTGCAGGCACTTGTTATAGTTTGAAGCTTTTTCTTGAGTGGACAGCTTGATGAAAGCCAGTCAATATTTACGTCACCCAGAAAATATACCTCTGTTGATATCACATACATTATCAAGCATTTCACACATATTGTCCAGATACTGACCGTTAGCACTTGGTGGTTGGATTGTGGTTGTGTTAACTGTACCTAATATATGTGTTGAGGTTGTGTTAGCTATACCTGATCTCAGGGTTGGGGTTGTGTTAGCTGTACCTGATTTCAGGGTTGCGGTAGCGCAGGGCCTGTGCCAGCAGCTCAGAGGTCTGTTGGAAGCAGTGGCCCAGCTCGTCTAACTTCTGCTCCATGGAGATGATGCGCTGCTCCAGCTCCCGGTACGAGTTGTTCCAGTTGGCACTCAAATCGCACATGATCATCTGCATCTGTTCACCATCAATCAACCAAACAAACAATCAAACAGACAATTAATCCATTCATCCAATGCTAGTTGTTTTGTGCTTTTTATAAAGTTATTTGTCGTAACAGCACAAGCATGCCTAACAAAATCCAGACATGGAATTCAGATAAACCCAGACTTAACCCCGGATGAGCTGAGGGTGACAGTGGCAACTTTCTTGGGGGAACAACTCCCTAGGGTAGTTAAAACATTGAGGGGAACCACATACGTCACATGTACATATCTCCCTCCTAAATACTGGCTCCTGTGACTGTTTCCTCTTCATAAATTTGCTCCTGTGTTCGATATACATATGAGCTGGACTTGCACAAATATATAGATCAATTTAATTAATAGAAGCGCTCACAACCCATTAACTATAGCCATTTTCTTTAGTTGTGCATTCTTTGCCAGGTATACTGCCCATTAGGTAAAAAGCTCTGACTCTAGGATTACATCACAGAGTGACTTGAACCTTCTGCTAGACCTCATGGCCGTTTTATAGAGTTTTATGTGTCTTTTACAGACATTTTATGTGTCTCAACACCTAGTAATAAATAACACAGCAACCTTAATATACTGGATAATGGTCTGTGTAAGAGTGTGGTTATTACCTGGAACTGGGTTATCCTGCGCATGGTGTGTGTGTGTGTGTGTGTGTCAAACATGTCGACACAGCTCTGCGTGAGTTGTTCTAGCCTACTGTGTGGTGTGGTTGGTTTACCTTGGGCAGGTCGACCATCTCACTGGCGTAATCTCTCAGCTTCCGTTGTTTGAGGCGCAGGTGCCGGAATCTGTCCAAAACAGACAAAGTACGTAGCAACATCTTAGTATGATAACAGTGTGATAGTGACCTTAAATAAATGCCTGGGCCTGAAGTGAGAAACTATCGTCACTGCCATTAGTACACATTACAGTATTGTCTGTTGCTTCAACGTTCTTGACGTTAGTGTTGGAATTTTTTATTTTTTTAGATGAAACCAGAACTGCCCCAGAAAAAGAAAAATGGAAACCAATATTGCAGGGAACTTCCATCAAGCACTCATGTGCACTAAAATGTCCTAGTGGGGATGCCAGAGCCAAAGAACCGATGCATAAAAGCCTGAAAAAGTCCAAACAAAATTCGTCTCTAAATAGTCTCTTAACTGTTTGGCTCTGTCTCCATTCCAAGTTGCTGGAAGTGCCTCATCATGCTTTCTTTCCACCATATATTTATAGTGGGTATGCTAACTGTACAACAGGAAATGTAACCCCTCCACCCTTACAGGCATACTCTCTCTTTCCCACACACACACACACACAGACTCACACACACACACACAGTATTATGAAGTCCTGCTGCCTGATAATGACTCACACATTCACACGTCTCAGCTTCCTAGTTTCCTATTTGTTAGGATCTCCCGTGAAAGAGGTCAGGCAACCCCACACCTCACTCCACTTGTTATTAACAGGAAGGCTAGGAGACATATTGTCAAACAACATGGATGAACAACAATGAAAGTAGACATGGGGAAGCAGGCAGAGGACGTCAAAGTTTCTAAGTGCTATTATCGCGAAGGAGCTGTCATTCAGAATATTTTTTTTGTCAAATTCAAGCAGTTTTTTGTTAACTTTTCCGGTGTTTCTTAGTTGTGATTTGACTTCACATGATGGAGGTTCCTTCTTCGTCTGAATTCCGTGTCAAATAAATGTTTCACTGTTTGTCAGATGACCACCGTCCAGTTATTTTGGTGACGAGAGCTTTTGTGAGAGTGAGACTATGTTGTATGCTTTTCTCTATTCTAAATTTAAACTTTACTTGTCAGTGAGCGTATCCATTTGATTGATGTCTAAAGTAGATTTTACATAGTGGCCTAGTCTTTTACCAAAGGGGTGGAGTGCCAAGATTGTTTTGCTGGACCGTAGCATCCAAACAAAATAGGCTCAGTTCAGTGTTGACGAATAGTTAATGACCCATAAAACCAGCACAACACACACAGACACACACACACACAGAGAGAGACATGCACACACACACACACTTTAGACGGCTTAGTGGTCTCTAAATGTATTGTTATTCTTCTGTTCTCCAGTGTTCCTGCAGAAGAAAACTAGTTGAGATGAGTTCTGTCCCAGAAACCTGAAGAAGATGCAAATAGCAGTGGACAAACTGATGGCCCACTCCCATCTGAAACACAAAGGTTAGACTGGAAAGAATCATACTGTGATGAGGACTTACACTCTGATGGCCTCCAGTAGGCACCTCTGGTGTCTCCGGTGCTCTCCACTGTTGCCCTTGGTCAGGTTGGTGCGGTGCAGCAGCCAGCACTCCCTCAGCACATTGGCAGCAGCATGGCGTATCTGGGACAGACAGAGGCGCCAACATCAAGACCCAGTCAATCAAAGGTGCAGCCCTAATGTGTAAGTGTGTGACACACTCCTTTGTACAGAAGGACTGTCCCAGCTGGAGATAAGAGTATTTGGAACTGTGATGCATTAAGCTAACACTCATGTTTATTGCAGGATTAAGTTATAAAGAATTACAGCACTAACTTGGGAGCATGTTTATTTGCTGATTAAACTGTTGTTATGAAGTGAGAGGTAGCCCATGGTTAACGTTGATGAAAACAATTTTGCCTAGTGCAGAACTGGGTCAGGCGGGGTGGGCTGTACACTGTTTGCTACACGGTGGTGTTTGCTAAAAACATAAACGGATGGACACGTACTCATCATATAGGGAATAATATTTGAGGATGCGAATAGGCATCAGTGGGCCATATGTTGGTTACGGAAACACAATCCTCTTTTTTCTCTTTGATTCTATTAGTGTCTGCTGTCCTTCCTGATGAGGACACCGTAACTGCCCTGCTATCTGAGCCTGGTGATGTTACTCCAGCCGGGCCCTGTCTTGTGTTGTCCTGTGTGTGGGGTTATTATTAGGGGCCGTCAGGGGCCGTGGCCAGATGTCTTCTCTTATTCTTCCTGTCAGCATAAATCAGGGCAACGACGGACAGCTCCGCGGGGATGCACACACACACCAAACAACTACAAACAGACGTAAGAATGCACCCAGTGAGAGGATGTGTTCAGTGCCAGGGAGGAAGTGGTTGTATCCTCAGCAGACTCAGACCTACAACCTCGCATCCTCACGCTGACAACACACTGCAGCCTGCAGCCAGTTGTAGCCTACACCTACACTGCCAACCTAGTGCTCAGCTAATGCTCAGTCAGGTCAGTGGATTTCAAAGAATCCTGCCATACACTACTTACATATTAGAGAATTATGTATATGGAAAATGGATAGGGAAACATGCTAGCATCTTCCGTTGCGTTCGTTTATTTTCAGGTTGTTGATTCTCCTTCCGTGCGATAAGCAAACAGATGGATCCTGTCCGAGGCTTCAACATGAAGTAACCCCTCACCAACACACATTCGCTCACTGTGTCCTCAGTTACGGCAGTGAGTGTATATACACACACACGACACACACATCATCTTATCCAGTTTCCCGTCAGTCCGAGCGCCTCGTCCTGGACTGACACAAGTCCCTTTCCTGACAGGGACACGATTGTTTCCTCCTTTTGACGCCTTTTGGAGGCTATTAAGAGATTGGCGGGCCCCACCTCCCAAGCCCTCCAGCCCCCCCCCAGTCTTTTTCCCACACTATCCTGTCCTCTGGAATGCCCTATTTAAGGAAAAAATAATATTATAAAAAGACTCCAAAACCATAACACGCGTGCGACACGGAAAATATCGCTGCATCCACCCAGAAGGCCTCATCCGTTGTGTCATGGGTTTTGTTTTTCTTGTGAGACCAAGGGAACCTTTGAAGGGAGCTGGCTGTTACCGGTTATCAATGTAGGACAGTGGTTTGGATCTTCACAATATGTTTTTCTTATCATTCAGTTATTGGAAAATGGGGATAAATGACTCCTTGAACTGAGACACCCACAACATGTTCACTCATTATTGTCATTATAGAGCCAGGTATTTTTACTGACCATGTGACCAGGAAAAACTCCCAGCCCTTGTAAAGGTTATAACTAGGGCCCAGAGTTTTCCTGACTAGGTGGACACATGGGATCTGGAAAAACTCTGGTCTCTAACTCTGAGTGATTGGTACAGTCGTTCTCCTCTCACCCGTTTGGAGATCTGGATGTCCATCATGAAGAAGTGCACGTGTTTCTCTCCTTTGTTCAGCGCCAGCTTCTTGGTCATGACGGCCACCAGCATGGCGGTACAGGCCACACCCTGAGGACAAACACACAGACAGCCACACCACCGTCACCATGGTTACCACCACCGCCATTTGTCATCCTCCTCCTGTCCCCTTGTGACTCGTAAGAGCGGGAGTCAGAGTCGGAAATCACAAAATGATCATGTCAACATTCAAAATTTGCCCTATAACCTCCGGTCTGTTTGGCCAACTTCAAGATAGACATCGTCATTCCTTTTCAAGAGGTTATGAAATAGTTGTGACTTGTTATAATTTGAACAAATATGGTGGGCCTATTTTGCCTATTTCGCCAAATAATACTAGTTACACTGAATTGACCTTATGCTTATGTGAGAGTGAAATGGTTAATCATATGCCATTGTGGCACTGATATAATAGTATGGGTTTACTCTGAGAATAGCATTGTGCTATTGCTGGATAGGGAACAACAAAATGCTGACGAATGCTCAGGAACACCACAGAGTGAATCAGAGTGACTTGCACACTAAAAGTGACTATATTTCAGTGTGGTACAATAGTTTCAACACAGAAATTCTTACTGCGTAATCTTAGACTACACTTCTGACCTATGGGGGAGATTTAACATAGTTAATTTACCATTGAGTGCAATTTTATATCAATATGTACTGTAAATACACAAAGCTCACAGTTGTACCAATGTGTATCTACCTACACTGTAATTGCATTGTACCTGCCAGTGTAATTACTGTGGAAATACAGTACATGGTTTTACATTTACATTTACATTTAGTCATTTGGCAGACGCTCTTATCCAGAGCGACTTACAGTTAGTGAGTGCATACATTTTCATACTTTTAGAGACATAGTGTAATCATATCATTTCAAGATTAGACTGGTTTGAAAATGAAGACCGATTTTTACCTTTTTTTCCTTCCCTTGTTTGCATTAGTAAAAGAGAGAGAGAGAGCAAAGTCTGATAAGGAAGAACAATCATATTAGCATGCACGCCAAGGCTCACAATGAAACACAGGTCACAGTCTGGACACAGAGATGATGCTAAGAGCCATTCGGATGGATGAATCACAAAACTAGTCCCCTGTCCCTTCCTAAGAGCTCCCAAAATACTCTGCTGGCTTCCTAACATCAACCAGCCCACTCACTGGTACTGGCATGGGCATGACTGGAAACAAAGATTCCGTGTGAATCTTCCCCAGCGTAATCTGGGAATTCTGAGAGGCACAACATCCTTCACAGGGATCCATCCACACCCCACTGATAGGATGTGTGGCGAGCACTCTGCTCTGCTCACCTCCCCAACACAGCTGGGGCACTACCAGAGAGGCAGGTTAGCCCAGGATAGAGGTGCTGAGCGTAGGGGTCCTTGACAGCCGAGTGCTACAGGTGTGAGTACTGCTTCACTCATTGTCCTAGAGAGCTGCCCTGTCGGGAGTAGGAAACGCCCTCCTGTTCCAGTGGTGCCAAAGGCTATAAACCACCTACAAATGGAAATGGTGGAAAGTTTTCCCTTAAAAAAGGGGAAAGCTTATAAAAACAAGGGGAGAGGGAGAGAAAGAGGCGTGAAGGATTATTTTCCACTGTGTCAGGGAGGTGTCTCGGCCTGGTTCGCGCCCCTCTGCCGGTCTTGT